ATTATACCTGATTCTTTTATTTTCATATTTTTTATTTTATTTTAGAGAGGGGCAACCTCTGTAGCAACACCAGAGAGGCATTTAAATTTCAGATTTTCAATAATGAACATCTTTCTCATGACGTTCTCCATCCGTAATGTGGATTCAGCTCGAGACCGACAGGCTGTCAAAAAATACACCAGACATTCGCCGAAGCTACGAATAATTTGGAAAGTAAGAGGTTCTATTCTTTGGTAAGTACGCGAGTAAACTTTTTCAGAAAATGTTTTTTTCAATGTGCTTTTGATTTCGTATAAGCTTTGAACAGTTTTTTTAACTTTCCTAATTTTTATTGAAGTCATAATGTTCTTGCTTTCGCACATTTTAATTCGGCTAATTTTAGTCATGGTCCAGTTACGAAATAGCTCTGTTGAATTTTCTTTGATGTTCGTGTGAATTGCCCCTAAATTAAGGAGTAAAATTTTTGTTTGACTCAACGGGAACGCGGAATACATTTCGTCCGCCATGTTATTCTCTTCTTGCTGACCGGAAATCTGGTCGCTCTTAACGAATTCTGGTTGCCGTGACACGGATTCTGGTGATTTCAGAGAGGATACCAGAATGGGGACTATTCATGTTGAAGGCCAATCGTACATCAGGCATTTCTCAAAAATCTAAGCAGTCAGTCATATTTTGAAAATCTACTGAGTTTTGTTGGTTTTTAATGAAGAGATCTCTGTCAGTATTTTGAAATTTCTCGCAATTTTTCCTGATCAATATTTTACTGAATTATCTTAATGGACCACTAGACAAGGTACGAATTTCAGCACTCTGATATATGTTCCGTAACCAAAATTTCACGTAGAGCACGATGCGCACAATGAAAATTATCGAAATCAACTCCTCACAACGATATTTAATGATTCTTGATGCGTGAATTCAAACCACCCGCTCATGAAAACTCAATGCTCTACGTGATTCACATCGCGCGCTAAACGTTATCATGACAGTCTCTGCGCGATGTAAACATCTGGCAACCTCAATCTTGACGCTTTGGCTCAGCTATAGCAAATTGCCTATAGTTCGATCAACACATGGTGGGAAATGAATATTGCTCGATTAAGAAACTTGCTGAGACCGTTGTCGTGCGCGATTTGACTCACGTAGAGCTTTGAGTTTCTTGTGAGCGGGCAGTTCAAATTCCTCGTAACCAATATGTGAAATGAAAAGGTTAATATCTTCGTTAGGAGTTGATTTCAGTAATTTTCGTTGCGCGAATCGTGATCTACGTGAAATTTTGGTTGAGAAACATGTATCGGAATGCTTTAATTCGTACCTTGTCTAGTGATCCATTGTCATTGGTGTGAATACCACAAACTTTACGATTTAATGAAAACTACGGAGATAAATTTGTATTCAACTGTGAGAAATAATTGAAACTTGACAATGATCCGAAATTCAACAGAAAATTCTCGGTTACTTTTTTTTTTACCATCTAGGCATTTTTTTTAAAAGATAGATATGCCGATGGACGATTTTTACAACACTGCATTTGCGTTGGTTCCCTCCTGCCAAACAGTCGCTTCCCGGAAGAAGGAACGTAACTCCATTGCAAGGTTGCAAAGTCGATTCAAAAAATGAAATTTTTTACAAGATCTACCCATACAATTTTCGTACAAAGTCTTTCATGAGATCAGAAGAAAAATCTGTAAAATTTTCAGTCGGGAATCCTTGAGATTTTCCTGGTAAAGAAAACAGTTTGCGAGGGAAATTTGGCAACATTGAAATTTAGTTACGTTCTTTCGTGACGGTATCGATGAGATGTCATCCAAATGGCCAAGGTTCAGTGCATGATCCGTTGAGAACCCGTGGGAAATTTCCATTAGTTTTAACACTTTGGGTTTTTTTGTTTTTTAAAGTTGGTGCTCAGGACCCGGCGCGACCCTTCACGTGCGAGGACTGCGGGAAGTCGTACAAGTGGAAAGCGGCCCTGGGGCGGCACCAGAAATACGAGTGCGTGCGGACAGGCCTCCGGGAACGGTTTGAGTGCGACCTCTGCTTCAAGTCCTACAAATGGAAACACGACCTCACGAAACACAAGAAGTACGAGTGCGACTGCATCGTCGAGAAACCTCAGTTCAATTGCCCGCACTGCCCCTACGTCAGCAAGAGGAAACAGTGCGTCAAAAAGCACATGACTGACCAGCATAATATCCCCTACTATTTCGCCGAAGTCGTCAAGTCTTAGTTTTTAGTTTTCAAGGAGGAAAATTAAAGTAGCTCTGCATTACCATGTTACATACTCTTGTGGTGCACTGGAAAAAATAACACATCGGATCTAGAGTCCACACTCTTGAAAACATTGATAAGAAAATGGACTCTTGATTCAATCAGATTTAAGCTTAAATCAAAAGGAAATCCGCTCAAATTATGAGGCTTGGTTCTTGATTTAAGCTTAAATCTGATTGAATCAAGAATATTTTTTCTTGTCGTTGTTTTTAAGAGTCTAGACTCTAGATCCAATGTGTTTTTTTTTCCAGTGTGGGGTAGAGAAAATATGTCGCCCAGTGCGGTGCCAACGCACTGCCGGCCGTCATTGGCCATTCACATCCACAGACAGGGTTGCATTTTTTCATGTAAAATAAAATCTTGAAATCTCATGTGAAATATTTCATGGAATTTCAGAAAAATATGAAAAATATTTGTCCAAATTAAATGCGAAATTAAGAGAGAGGCGATTGATTTTTGCCTTTTGGTGGTTTTTAAGTGCGTGTTTCTTACCCAGTCTCTGAAAATATGTTTTATATTTTTCATATTTTTTGCAATATTGTGAAATTATAATGAATTGTTCACGGAAATTTTAAATATTTCATATTTTTCATTTCACCCGTGCAACTGTGTCTACGGATAAACTGATTTATGCCCTACTTCGTGGTTCAATGGATCACTAGATAAGGTACGAATTTAAGCATTCTGATACATGTTTCTTAATTTGAATTTCACATAAAACACGATTCTTGCATCAAAAATGATTGAAATTACCCTAACTAACAATAACGTTTTTATTTTACATTGGTAACAAGTTACGTTTGGAATGCCCGGTCACAAGAAACGTAATTCTCTACGTGAGCCTAATCGTGTCTCACAACAGTTTTGGCAGGCTTCTCAATCGATCATCGTTCCCTTTTCATGCACCCTTTATCGTTCAAAGTGTAAACGATTTGCTATAGCTGAACCAAAGTGTCAAGATTTTCATACCGCAAAGATTGCCATGGTAATGTTGAGTGTGCGATTTGACTCACGTAGACTACTGTGTTTTCATGGGTGAGAGGTTTGAATTCACGCATCAATGAACATTTAACATCTTAGTTAGGAGTCAATCCCGGTAATTTTCGTCGCGCAAATCGTGTTCTACGTAAAATTTTGGTCAGACAATACGGACTTCGTACCTTATCCAATGGTCCATTAAAAATCAACACATGACCTTATCACTGATTCCCGCTCCTCGCGCTATAAAGGGACACATGAATGAACCCCACGAATTTTAATGTCTAGGGCTGTGACGATAATGGTCATGCGATAATGGAGTCATGTGAATTCAGTGAGCAACCTGCCGAGCTACTTTTCTGTTCCGCGTTAAAGTCCCCCGTAACCTTTCACTGCCATCATCGTCATAACCTACACCATGTTTCAAAAAAGTATCGACTAAGTGGTCCTGTAGAGTGACCCGTTCGTTTCGCTGATACAACCCTAACTTAATTCCAAATAATTTGAGGTATCTGTTCCTCCGTTTCAACCTCTCTAATTGATCGCATGTAAGTGAGGGGTCGATCTTTCAGCAGTATTTTCTCACTGGAAAAAAAAGTAGCTTGGATCTAGAGTCCAGACTCTTAAAAACATTGACAAGAAAAATACTCTCGATTCAATCGGATTTTTGCTTAAATCGAGAACCAAGCCTCTTAATTTAAGCGGATTTTCTTTTAATTCAAGCAAAAATCCGATTGAATCAAGAGTATTTTTTCTTGTCATTGTTTTCAAGAGTCTGGACTCTAGATCCAAGCGACTTTTTTTCCAGTGCTTTTTTCCTTTTTTTCAACAATGCCAGTGCATGTCGATGGTCAAAGTGCGAAACAACGTTTCTTCCGTGCGAGGTTTCAAAGTTTTCGCTCCTATTTTATTATTTGAACAGAAAGAGGTCAACTTTATGACGTGACTCGGAATCGATGCAGAATATTTTGCTAACATAGAAGAAAAATCCAACTTTCTCAAGAAATTACGCGTATTATTAGTTTTCCAAAGAAAACAAATTATGAAAAAAGTCTGCAACGTCGCAAACGTAGATACTTGGTTTCGTACTTCGGCCATTAATACTGACAAAATCTGTTCATAAATACAGGTTTGAAAAGTAAATAAGGCTTTAGCATATAACTAAAAACATTCCATTACCAGAAAATGACCGACGGACTTAAACAGATTTTTGAGTTCGGCTATAAATAATATTAAGTATACTTGAGTGGAGGGGGAGGGGTTCAAGGGAGACCTGGAATGTACCTGATGGGAGGAAGAGCAGCTGGTTCTGATCTAAAATGGCGCGATTTTCTGGAAGTATTTCGAGGGAGGGGGGATATACAAACCTGACGTCCATTATGGTGAGGTTTTACACTATGGAAAGAGGAGAGTTAAAATATCCAGAAACTTTACCTGATCACTGAAGAAAGCAATCGAAACCTCTCCTTTTGTTGTACAAAGTCGAGCTTTCATTTCGCAGCAAAGTCAGTGGTAATCTTCTCATCTCCACTCTCTTACAAAAGAGTACAATTGCTGGATTATATTTTTCTACGTCGTTGTAAGTGTTATTTCATTTATCTTTATTAGATTAATTGATTTGTCAAACCTGTTTTGTGTTGGTCATTTGTATTCTGTCATAAACAATCGTTACCTAGAGATATTTTTTCATTTATTTTTTTAACAGTATCTGTGATAAGTATTTTTAACTACTCACGAAGTCTGTCGTTTAATCGATGACTGATGGTAGGTATTAATGAAATTACGAATTATTTTAAGTGTGTAAATAGGTTTTTAGGTCACCAAAAGTTGTCTGTTCACTGTGCATTACTTTAACTGCGTAAATTGTTTTATTTTGATAAAAGTTTGGTTTTTTGTTCATTTAACTATTTTCGTTTTATAGAGAAGTATTGATTTATTCAGTACTTAACCATTACTAGTTTTATTTGAAATTTGTTTACGTTATTTTTATAAAAAGAGTTATTTTATACGATTAATAAATATGTTTTGAAATTTATTTTTCCGACTAGTATTTCCTTTAATCATTTTTTTTCTCCCTCTGACATATAGGTAATCGTGGGTGTAGCTAGAGGGAAGAGGAAAACATTTTTCTGAGGGACGAAATTTTCCCACATCATTCTACGTAAAATTTCGACATGAACTTATACCAAACATTACACAAATGCGAACATTGTTGTTGTGATTCTTAATTTCTTACCTTTTCTAGTGGTCCTTCGTTTGAGAGCAGTTCCTAAAAACGCAGCAATTGACATCGTTTCCGACTAAACAGCAGTAAACCCACATTTTCCCGCGAAAAAGCCTCAACTTTTGCTGTCTTGTGCAAGATTACTTTGATGTCTTTTCCTGTCAAATTCTAACCTTCCATTTTTTTTTTTTTTTTTTTTTTTTTTTTTTTTTTTTTTTTTTTTTTGTTATTTGTTAAAATAAAATCCGAGGAAATACGCAAAGAGTGCACGTGCGACCATCTTGCTTGAATTGAATGAATGCCGGTTCTTCTTTTGTATTAACACTTAAAATCAATCTATTCTCGAATCACTTGAACGATTGATAATAATAGTCATTTGAGTGTTAAAAGGGAATCTTCAAAAAAAAAAAAAAAAACCGGAGGACCTATTCAATGAAACGTTTCACCCCAATAGTATCAGGTCCTCTTTCTTGAAACTTCTTTCTGGACTGCATCCATAAAACTGAGCCTATCGATTCTTTCTCATTTCAGTTCTCGATTGTGGAAAAGGTGGTGATCAGGTTATCAAGGTCGAGAAAAAACTGACACTAAACATTTTACTTGAACAAACGAAAGGCTTACCAATATCAAAGGGAAGGCATAATTTCACGTGCCCTTACTGTCCATATGTTGCCTCAAAAAAGTACAATGTACCAAGGCACACTATTCTTATGCACATGAATAAGCAGTGATACTATGTATACTTAATATGGAGTGCACCGAAAAGAATTTATGTCGATCCTCTCAATATGTTTGTATCCTCCGTTTGTAGCTCACCCGTTTACTGATTTTTTATCGATCATTTTTTTTGCAAGAGAGTCGAAAGTACGTATGAAAAGTAGTCATAAAGTAGTAATGAAGAATTTTTTTTGTAAGAGAGTAAAAGTCAATATATTTAGTTATTTATTTCATACTTTTTGCCTTTATATTTTCTTCCCCCTCTTTAAGGTTTACACAATTTAACGATAGGCAAAGCCGTTAATTCTATAAAAATTGATCAGATTGTCAATGCTCATCATTTTTTAATTATTTCCAATCCGTCCAATTTCATTTTTCTTTCAATTTTTTATAGCTATTCCGTACAAAATTAAAAATTAAAAATTGATCAGCCATCTCAGAAACTGCTATTTCTTTATTTCTCTCATTTGCATATCGATGTTACGACAGATAAATGAGACGATGTGTATCAGACGCTATGTTTCAATGATCACGTGGTAGAATTAGGTAGCACTGTTTTCTTTTCTACGTATATATCAGCAGCACTTATAGTCATTCATGGTTTTTTCACATTAAAAAAAACAGCATGAGTTCGTTTAGGTCACTTACATTATTCTATCAAACTGTTTAGTGTTAACTTTGAATCAAATGAACGTTTCTACATCAAAAGGAAGTATATCCATTGTGACATTTTTTTCCACCATCGTCGTCATTTGTGAAGACTTATTTTGTTGTAACACGTCCAATTCGGGGGAAAATAAGTTTACTATTTTCTACCCTCGGTGTTTGTATCCAAGCCAGAGATAAAACGCAAAATCTTACGTTTTGCAATTTCATGAAATTCCATCAATCTTGCAGAAATGTTGTAAGAGTTGAAATTTCATATTTTTGTTTACCAATTTTAATGTGAATTACTTTTAATTTTCACAACGTTTCCCTTCCTCCTTTATTTCTCTACTATTTTGGTGCTCTCGCATCGAATGCGTATCAGAAAAATGAAAACTAATTAATTTCAAATGATGATTTCTCTCGTTTTGATCAAAATTATTTTCTTAGAATTTGAATCAGAGTTATGTTTAGACTTTAGAACGTTGCTTTGCGAGGAATCAGCTCTTGGCTGGAAAGTACAAAAAATGTCATAAAATTTTCGCATTTCTGTCTCCAACACATCCACTCATTGCTTGCATCATTATTTTCCAGCTGATTACCAATACTCGCACGTACTTCCTTCACATCACATCGCTGCATCTTGCGAAACAGTTTTAGACGCTGCATCCTGCAACACAATTTTAGAAGCTGCATCACACATGCGTTACTCCGAGGTAGAGGAAAGATACTTCTTCTGTGACCTGTGCCACAAGTCGTACAAGTGGAAAAAAGCCCTCAACAGACATAAGACCTACGAATGTCCGTTCGTAGTGGACAAACCTCATTTTTCCTGCCCGTACTGCCGTTTCGTTTCCAAGCAGAAGATCTGCGTTAAAAAGCATATCGTCATCAAGCACCCCGGTCTCCCGGTCAAAGTTGTACAGAAAATCACCTCATCCATAATCGAAAATTGAAACTAAAGTTGAGATTGTCCAAATGGTATAAAATGTTTACCTGCTGTCAATCTTCCGCGTGGAGAAAAAACTTTGTGCGTGGCACTGGGATGAGTCCAGATCTTATGGATCTCTGAAGTTTTCGAATCAAGTATCCAAAAACTTTAAGTCAAAGCTGACGAAGTTATACTATATCTGATGTACTTCACCACCTCAGAAGTTTCAACCGAAGTGCCAGAGTACTTCAGATGTGTGGCCCGCACCTCGGCAGCTGGGCCACAAGTCTTCGGATGCACGACCCGTAAACTTTGGAGATCCATTTATGACTTGGACTTCGGGTCCCATGAACGAGGTTTTTTTCTTCGTGCAGCCAATATAACAGGAAAAATTTATACGCACTAACCGTGAAATTTTCATAATATTAGTTTTTGATGACAACTTACAGTCATAATTACATATAGAAAACCTTTGGTAACGGTCATCCTTTTTTCTCGAAGTATCTCCTCTTTTCGTAAAATGCCTTTAGCCTTACCCATGATTTTTATTATACATTCCTTGCATTTGGTTCATTTTGTCCAAGCTGAATTTCACAGCTGAATATAGTAATTATATTCATACTTAATGAAGCTGTAGTTAAACATTTTCAAGTTCTTATCTCTGAGAGTTCCTATTTTTATTCCTATTATTGTCTTTTTTCTCCGGGTCGAATCAACGACGAACCTGCAGAAACACGCATCTCGTGTTTTTAACGCATGTCGTTTGCTGTACACTTTCTTGCTCTCCTTTTATAATAGTTATACCTAGAGAAACACCGGGCCAATTTATATTATTTTTCAGCTATCGCGGGAGAAAGCTAAATCCAGGTAATCTTGGTCTCTTCAAATTTCCCAATTACGACCAAGGTTTTTAGTTTTATGGAACGGCCAGGTAGGGAATTTTTAGTACCCCAACAATTACTCTCCTCTGCTTTCGATAAATTGAACGCTTTTATACAATTTACTTATTTTTTGTATTTTCATCTCAAATAAAATTTCCTTTGAAGGAAATTTTTAAATGTGTGTTTTTCCTATCTCGTCGATCAAAATATCTGAGTTAATTGTTTAAATTCATTATACGCAAGATTTCTCATTACCCTTAGTAACTATGTAAGTAGCCTTCCTCAAGATCAACATTTTCAACCTCTTCTTGAAATTCTGAGGTTATTTTCGCATTTATTTTTCCCATAGTTAGTGCGCATACGGCATGATAACCCACTCTAGGGGATTTTCACCATTTCTCCCGAAAGTTATTTGATTTTGTCAGACATTTTTTTATTTTCTTAAGTTACGTATCAAGATAGTGTACCGTTTAGGTTTATTGATTTTTTCATTTATTTTCGGCATCACTAAGTAATTATACACTATATTCGACATAAAATGCCGTTTGTATAGCTGGTGCACTGTGCAGTAACACAACTTTCTCCAGAAATTTTCAAATGAGTAGTGAAATTATACAAGTGCCAAACAGAATTGAGTTTTTCTTCAGAGTTGAAGATTTATGACATTTAATGTACTGTAATTTATGAAACGGCGTGTAGCTATCTTTAAAGTAACTTTGAAAAAAGAGGAAATTTCACAAGTCATGCTTGCACTCACCTTTAAAATTGTCCCAAGTAATTGTCGCTTTAAGCACACAATAAAAATGCAATCATGAACTCATACAAGCAACGAAATATAATTTCCTTAATGTTGCATGTTTAATTTTTCACTTTTCTTAGTTTAATTTGTTATTTTGTAATAAAATTGTAATTTTAAAGTTTTTCCTTTTTTATTTATTCATCAATCCAACGTGCCGAGAAAAGAAAAAACAATGGTATACGCGCATGATCGGTGACAATTTCATGTGAAGTGATAACAAATGTCCCCCAAATTTTTGTGATCTATAAAAAAGAGCGTAAGGCCACCATTCAGTAGAAGGCAAACATTTATCATCTCGGGTTTTGATTCCATACTCAAAATGTATCTATTTCTGAGTAACCTTACTTTCTCTAAAGTTTTACTTGAGATCTAAACGTAAATTGACAAGAACCGCATAGTTCATGAACACTAATTTAGTCATTGAAACAAGAGCATACAAGAGAGTTCAACTTTATTTCGGGACGAAAAACATCAGCTTTGAAACTAACACAGAGACGGAGGTGCTTTACAGTTTGCAGCTCAAAAAATGTAGTATCGAGAAAAAGAAATGAAAATGGGTCTGTCGCACGCAAGAATAGAGTAGTAATAGACTATAACAGATTAGTAATAGTAGACAGAATAGTAGACAGAATAGATCAAACATAGTTAATCGAATAGATTAGCAATAGACTAGAATAGTTGCACGCTATAAGTGATCAGACTTTTTACGAGTAAAATTGCGCGACAGTTACGATGGGAAAATAAAATAAGTCTGAAATTCACTCATTTTAGCAATATGCGTAGTTTATTACGGTCGTTTTCAAATACTCCGCGTCGAACGGCAGTTTTTCTCAATCGCAGGCAATCAAGTTTGCCCAATGAGAGACTCAAGAATAATCCAACGTTCATGAACACATGACGCGTAGGAAATGATGCCCACATTAAAAATGCGAAAAAGTAACTCAGAAACGGAGAAATTTGCAGTTCAGAAAACGCAACTTTTCCGCAAATTTAAAACGTCCCGGTTTCGCGCCAAACCGAATGATATCAGCCGGCACCAATTACAAGTGAGCACGGGTTTCTACGACTCCCACCAAGTATCTTTCTACTCCTCATACTTATATGAAAACAATAGGCTAGTCGAAACTGTATCTTCAGGATCAAAGACTCGAATCTCACTCATGTTATATGTACAGTATGTGTATAATTTCACATTAATTTACGTTTTAATCTGACGAACCTCAGTTGAAAATGAGAGCAGATAGCGATTTGAATGCCGTAGTCCATCACCTCCATCATTTTGCCGTCATCCGGGGGCGTTTGAAATTCCCTCGAGTCTTTGGCTCCAATAATACGCAATAAATCAGCACGTAATCTACTCGTCATGGTAATTTCAGAATATTAAATAAAAAACACAAAGTTTAGTGACCCATTTACGACGCACAGTGGATCGAGTCAATAGCAGAGGTCGGACAAAATTTGGAAACTTTAAACGCTTATAATCCCGTTTATACACATTTTTGAGGTTCTAAAAGTGGTTCCTCTGGTTTCCTCGTGAAATTTTATTCTTCAAGGACCCCTTGGAATTTAAAATGTGACAAAATAAACAACAAAATTTGCAGTTTCATTTGCAGTTCATGTCTGACCTCTCTAACTGACTCGAATGTGCGACGCACATGAAATTTTTGACCAAAACTGCAAATTTGGATGTTCATTTCGTCACATTGCAAATTTTAAGGAGCGGTTCTGGAAGTAAATTTCACGAGAAAACCAATGGAACTATTTTCAGAATCTCAAAGATTTGTGTTACCGGAGTTACAAGCGTTTAAAGTTTCCGAATTTTGTCTGACTTCTCCCATTGACTCGATCCACCGTGCGACGCAAGAAATAACCATTCTATCCTTTTCCAGCAGAAGTTAGGCGCAGGCACAACTCCTTGGCGGAAAGCTGGAGCCCCGGCGCTGCGTCTGTTTATAAGCGTTATCCGACCACCGTGGCACGAGGAGTTCTCGAGGAGGATCTGTTTTCCTGCGACCTATGCCTCAAGAGCTATAAATACAGACAGGGACTCAATAGGCACAAGAAATATGAATGCACTTACGTGGGGTCCAAGCCGCAGTTCTCCTGCCCGCACTGTCCCTTCCTCGGCAAGCAGAAAGTCACCGTCACCAAGCACATCATCCTCAAGCATCCTGGCAAGTCCACTCAAGTGCAGCAGAAAGTTGTCGCGTCGACGCTCCCGACGTAGTTAAGTCATCTCACCTCGGATGTGACCCGCAAGCGCAGGGGCTTATAGACCAGAGGTGAGCTAAGTCCATCCTCTGGATTCTTGAGCAGGAATCATCGCGGTAGATTGCAATTTTATTGGTGTAGACAATTTCTATTTTTATGACGGAAATTTGATTCATTAAAAAATTGAGTAATAAATTTCCCTCGTAGGGGGCGCCTCTGCTGTGTTTTAATTTTTCGATTAGGGCCTAGCTCAACGAGAGTCCTTGAGCTGTAACGAAAATTCTTAGAGTGCATAGAGTCGGAATCAAGTCGTAATATTATGACGTAAGCTGGGGCCATGTTCTGGTCGATGAGTTTTGAGCTCGGTGTGGGCCAAGATTAGGTTACCTTTTCGACATACTTTTGATTCATAGTGGCTGTTTAGAATACGTATTAAGTCATATCCTCTTTGTTTACATCGGATGACCGGATTCCTGTGTATCGATAACAATCGATTATGTATCGAAATGGTGACCAGGCACCGCACAGGATTCATGGAATTCAGTGCCTGGAAAATGTTTGAAAGTGGTGTCAGCTCCTCCATTCTTACTACGACTCTACATATGTACTCCATGCGAAAATTAGAGGTATCAGGAAGTTCTGCTAAAATCGAAGAGTCGTAAGTCGTAGGTTTAATTTGACTCAAGCGGCATTTCATCTTGACCGTAGTTTGACTGAGCGAGCTTTTACTGTGGAACATCCTTCTTCGTATCGATACTGAAAAAAAAATTTTAAGAAAAAAAAGAAGAAAAAAGTTTGAAGCTTCAATACTTAATGCCAGAAAATGGAGGTTATGGGATTACCTAACCTGGCCTGGGGATGGCTGAATGTGGAGGGGGGTTAAATACACCAATTACGTGTTATCATTCTCAGCAGGTGCAGATATCCCTTTCCCACCGTGAGTTATGCCCCTCGCTCTTACAGGTATCCCATAAAAGAAACTGGGATCAAGTTATTAGTCTTTATTACCAAATTTTGAGGCTCGTTTTCGATTCTAAGCTGTCGAGACCAATGCTCAGAGAGATGAGACTTAGAATGCAAAATAGGAATTTATCGCGTCATATTTTGGCTGTAGCCCTTTTACAGAGGATTTTC